CAGTGGAGCATTACTCAGCAATGAACGGGAATGGACTCCAGATACTTGCTTTCTCATGTGTGAGCCTCAAAAAATCATGATGGCCACTTAAACAAGTCAGTCACAGGGGACCACACTGCAAATGATTCCATTCTTAGTGAGGACCCAGAACAGTCAAATCCACAGAATTAGAAAACAGGTGGATGAGTCTTCTGGGGTTGGCCTTAATTGTACAGGATTTTCTTTTCAATTGGGGGAAATATCCTGAAATCAGATGGTGGTATGGTCACACAATGCTGTGTAATTGGTGTAGTGAATGTGTGTGTGTGTGTGTGTGTGTGTGTGTGTGTGTGTGTGTGTGTGTAGTCATATGTATGTGTGGAGTCAGAGGACAACTTTCAGGAATTGGTTCCCTCTTTCCACTGTGGGTCTTGGGGATCAAACTCAAACCACCAGGTTTGGAGACAAACACTTTTGCCTGCTGAGCCCCAGCCCCTCAAGTTGTATACATGAAAGGCGATCTCCTTGCTGGAGTTATGATCACCCCATGAACTTTGGCCTTGTCACCTACGAACTGGGGCGGGAGGTCTTCTCCTCCCTGATTACCAGAGAGGTGAGGAGAGGGAAGGGACAGTGAGGACTCTTCATTTTCACTTTTGTATTTGCTTTTATTATGAGAGGAAAAGTCTGAACAACATACACATGAGTAGTAGAGCCATCGAGGGACATCAGTTCTAATTTTAGGGGTGCTGACGCTGTTCAGTATGGTCACCAAGGTGGAAGTGACCCTGTTTGTACACACGGTCAGAACTAGTCCTGGGGGCAGTGAGATGGCTCAGCCATTAAAGATGCTTGTTGCCACACTCGACAACCCGAGTTCGGTATCCTCCGGACCCACACAGTGCAGGCCAAGAGCCAACTCCCGCAAGCTGCCCTCTGACCTCTACACGTCACCATGGCAGGTGCCTCCCCCAATAAGTAAACATAATTTATACAAAATCAAAACAAACCAAACCAAAAAACTCAGCACCGCGTTCACAGCCAGACACAGAAGTCTGCATTTTGCTGTCCATATAAATAAGTATGATGATTTTTTTTGAGACAGGGTCTCACTGTGTCACCCTGGTTGGCCTCAAGCTCCCTCTGTAGACCAGGCTGGCCTTGAACTCACAGAGATCCACCTGCCTCTGCCTCCTGAGGGCTGGGATTAAAGATCTGCACACCACGCCTGGCTGAAGGATAATTTTAAAAATTAATTCTCTTTACCCGCTCCTTCCTCCCAACTCCGGCCACAGATCCTTATGGCTAGAGAAATAATCCCTGTGCACAACAAAAATTCCTGTCCTTTCCTTCCCGTCTTTTGTAAACAAACGCAAAAATCATGAACTAGATATACTGGTGTGCTTCTTGCTAGTTTTTCTCCCCTGAAGAAAATCTTAGACCTGGGTCTTGGTGGTACAGGCCTGTCAGGCCAGCTACTAGAGAGGCTAAGTGAGAAGGACAGCAAATTCAAGGCCAGTCTGGGCTACAGAGTGAGTTTAAAGCCTGCACATTAGACTTAGTGAGACCTGGTCTTAAAATAAAAAGTAAAAAGTAGCTAGAGGTGGCTCAGTGGTAGAGCACCTGCCTAGAATCCCCCAGTGAGGGGCTGGGGTGTGGCTCAGTGGTAGAGCACGTGCCTAGAATCCCCCAGTGAGGGGCTGGGGTGTGGCTCAGTGGTAGAGCACCTGCCTAGAATCCCCCAGTGAGGGGCTGGGGGGTGGCTCAGTGGTAGAGCACCTGCCTAGAATCCCCCAGTGAGGGGCTGGGGTGTGGCTCAGTTGTAGAGCACCTGGGATTCTACCCCAGTGAGGGGCTGGGGTGTGGCTCAGTGGTAGAATAATTATCTAGAATCCGCCCCCTAAAAGGGTTCAGTAGTAGCATGTTTGTTTAGCACATGCAAGGCCTTGGCTCCAGTCCCCAGCACAAGAAAATAAGTAAGTAGATAAGAGGAGCTGGGTTCAGAGTGTCCGGTCTCTCTCTGTTGGCTGCCCTGCTCTGCTGGCTGTGCTGGGAGGCACGTAAGCCCGCCCTCATCCGTGGGTATTTAGGACACCTCTGATCTGCTGCTGCTACAGAGTGCCCCAGCAAACAACCTTGCACACAGTCATATATCACTTTTCGAATTCGTGACAAGCATCTAGAGGACACATTCCTAGAAGAAAATGCCAGGCCCAAGGCTGTGTGGCTTTGGAATTCTGACATCCTCCTCTCAGGAGTTCCCAGAGCATCTCCTTCTCTGTACTGTGGCCTCAGAGTAGCTGGGAAACTGTCTAACCTTTGCCAACTTGGGAGTGAAAAGTCATGCCGAGCTTTCATTTGCATTGTGTTGAGTGTGATGAGTTCTCTTTTGTTGAGAGATCTTCCCCGCCCCCTCCTTTTCTGTTTGCTTTCTCTCCCACTTTCCATGACTTTATCACCTTTTTCTTATTGAGTTGTAAGAGCTCTTTATATATGAGGAAACTTATATGGCTTTGGGGTCTTCTGGGGGTTGTGGATTGTCACTGCGAAGGTCTGGCTATTGGAGGGATTGTCACCATTTTCCTCTAGGCTGCACTTCCTTTGGTGGTATGTGGAAATGTCCCTTTACACTTCTCAGCTTTCCACAGAAATGAGATCTCACTGACTCAGTGGATATAAAGTCATCCTGCCCCCCCCCCCCCCCCGGCTGGGCCTCTGATGAGCCTGCTGAAATCAACGTGGGTGGCTCTGAGCTTGGGGTCCCACATGTATCCAGTGGGAGAGTTGAGCCCATCCTTCTAAATCCGTTCTAGGCCCGCCCCTTCACCCTCATCTCAGGAAGGACTGTTGTCATGGCTGCATCTGGTTCTGTCCACGGACAACCTTGCCTAAGAGTCCTGTGTGGGGTGGGGGGATGAAGGGTATAAGCAGATGTGTGCAGGAACCTGTGTGGGAGCAGATAAAGAAACGTCAAGGGCAAGCTGGGCCCGTTGGCACATACCTATAGTTCTGGTCCTCAGGTTCCTGAGGAAGGGCACTGGAGTCCCAGGGTAGCCTGGGCTACAGAGCAAGAGCCTGTAGATGGATATGGAGGAGGAAGAGAGGAAACTGATGAAGTAGAGGAAAAGGGAAAGAGGTGGTGAACGAGTCAAAGCAGGGTGGGGTGGGGTGGTTTCTTTGTTGGGACCCAGTCTGATAGACCACAGTACAAACCTCTGGCCCTTTTGCATTCTTGAGAATGATGCTTGCAGTCCCATGCCAGTTTATAAGCTCAGGTACCCTGATAGCACCCTCTGGACCCAGGGAATGTGCGATCTGGGAGCAGAGAGCAATGGGTGTGCCTTGGTGACTGGCTTCACAGACCCTCCTCCGCCATGTCTCAACGAGGCTCCTGAGGTGTGTGTGGAGTCCTTCTACTCCCTGCCGGAACTGACGTTCTCCATGAGGGTGAGCTTGGGGATGAATTATGGGGTGTGCCCACTAGGTATAAGGCTTCTCTGCAAGTGTGTGGGTACAATATCCATCATGTCCACATTGCAGGATGCTCTGGGGTCCGTATGTCTGCTGATGACAAGGTTCAGGCAAATAGGAGAGGGGTGGAGGGATCGTGGACGGTTGAGAGAGCCAGGGCTCTCACTAGGAGGAAACTATCGGAATCCAGCCTCTCTCCCACCTCATCCCTTTGGCTCTGGCCTGGGGTTAGCTTCGTGGTCCAGCCTTCCCAGCTTGAGGGATGCCTGACTTTTTTTTGGGGGGGTGCATCATTCTGGCCAGCCAAGCATCATGGGATCATTTTTCTCCCCAACATCTCAAAGAGCTCTGTGCGTGAGGGTGGGCATACAGACAGTACTGGCTAAGTGCAGGGTTGGCTGCCAGAATGCTGAGGAAGGAGGAGTGGTCATATCTGTCCAGGTTACTGACAGCTAGGCTCTGAGGGAGCCGGCAAGAGAGACCCTAAGACCCTGGGCTTTGGGGCTTCAGTCTCAACCTGGTTCTTCTTGAGGTTTGAGTGCCCCGAGCAAGGATAGACTAGACGGGACAGCTCTGTCCTTGACTGGAATGCTTTGTGTCCAAGAATCCACCGGAAGGGGCGGGGTGTAGACCTTCCTCTATCCTCGGCCTCAACTGGGATCTCACTCCCCTGTGTTCCAAATGAAAGATGGGCTGGATGAGGCCTAGGGTCCTGCCAAGTGTGGGCCGCCTGCCGATGCCGCAGGCTGGATGGAGCTTATGGCCTACAGGAGAGTCTCAGGACAGGCCACCGGCCCTGAGCCCGGGGATACCCATCCTGGTCCTCTGGTCGCGTCTGGGCATGGGAGTGGTGTGAGGCTTGGTGCAGCGTGGCCAGAGGACCAGGATGGGCGTCCCGGGCTCCGGTCCCGGTCCCCAGCCGCGCGCTGCGGCTCTAGCCTCCGCGACCTGGCTTCGTCGGCGCTGCTTCCCAGAGCTCGACTCTTGGGGTGCTCTGGCTAGGAGGTGGGGTTCAAAAGGGTCACATCCGCTCTGCCCGAGGGGGTCCTCCAGCTCTGCAAGCGCACGGAGGCTCGGAAGCTGCGCACAAGGCCTTAGCCCGGCGAGGGCGCTCTTGAACTTAATTTTGAATTTCAACCCAACGCCAAAGCTACTGGCTAGGGAAGGGGCGCGGTAGGGAGCGGGAGACCAGGCAACCGGTTCTGTCAGTGTTCTGGGAAGGATAAAGGGGGCGGGGTGAACTGCCTGGGGCCCAGAGCCCCAGAGGGGCGACTTGGATCCCCCGAGAATCGGGAGAGGCTAGTGGGAGGGGAAATCCACCACTCGGAACCTTCCGGGAATGGGAAGGTGCCAGGCTGATCTCACGCCTCCGGGTCTCTCAGCCCAAGGGGGTGGTGACAAGTGATACAGAGGGGAGGGACTGTGAAGTGGGTCGGTGACCTTAGGGGGAGAACAAGTCACCGGTGGGAAGAGGGGATGTTACATCTCGAGGGCCAGACAACCTCGTACCACCTCCTATTCTCCTCCCCCGCGCCCGCCGGGTGAAACAACTGTCCCTGCGGGTGGTGCTGTGACACACGCGCTTACACAGGGTCTGACTTCGGGGTCAACTTCTACATGGCTTCGTGCGGGTGCGTGTGTGTGCACAGCCGTGACTGTACGCGCGTGCACATCCCCGTTTCTCATACCCACCTCCCATCGCCAGGAAGGGTCCCAACCCCATGACACTCGGGGACTTGGGCTCCACGGCGCAGTTCAGTGGCCTGGGGCACCGGCAGGGGATGCCGGCAGGGCCAGGAAAAGGAGGAGAGGCTGGGTCGGCGTCCTGAGATGTCCCTACAGCTCCAGCCAACTTCCCCTCGGGGAGCCCTGACCCCCTCCCCGGGCCACCGACGGACGTGCAACGGCCCCCGCCCCTGCTCAGGTCCCCTCCCCGTGCGGCTCCCACGTCCGACCTGCCTCGCGCTCACAAAATGAACCACCGCCTCGCGTCGCCGCGGCCGCTGCCGCCGCGCCCGCGCCCGAGCTCGAGAGCCGGAGCCGCCCGGCCCCTTCGGCGTCGCCGGCGCCGCGGCCGCCCTGCCTGCCCGGCCGGTCCGGGGCTGCTCCGATCGCGCGGTCCCCGGCTCTTGACGCAGTGAGCGCCGCAGCCCGGCTCCCGCAGGCTCCTCTCCGCTCCCGGCGAGAGGCCGATCCCCAAGCCTGGCGGACTCGGGGAGGGGCGGGTAGTGCGGGCGGGGGAGGAGGTCTGTCTGGAGCCAGCCAGAGCCCCGAGGAGGAAGAGGAGGAGGAAGCAGGGGCAGCCACCGCCGCTGCCGCCGCCGCCGCCGCCGCGGCGCTCCCGGGACTTGGGCGCGCGCGCTCTGCTAGCCGGCGACCGAGCCTCCAGACCTGGGGGCCGCAGCCCCGTTCAGGTAGGAAGGGGTGTGCAGCGGGCGGGGGTCCCCTTTGCCGCAGACGCGGGGTCTACAGGTCCCCGCCCCTGGAGGGGGAGGGGCGGGGAGGATGCGCTCTCGCCGGCTTCCCGGGTGGCGCGGGAGTCCCCAACGGCTCCCACAGCCCTGATCTCCTCTATCGCCCCAGTCCCCCGCGCCCTGCCCTGGGTGTCCGCATCTGGGCCGAGTCCTCTCCTAGCCTGTGGGGGCTTCGGATGCAGGGCTTTGAGCCCGAGGCTCCAGGGCGCCCCCCACTCACTGGCGTTCACTAGGCGGGTGCACCCGAAGTTCTCGATCGGCGAGCTCCGCGGCCGGACAAACTTCCCTCCCCGACTCCGCGGATCTGAGAGCCTGAGCTTAGGACCCCCCCCCCCCTCTAGGATTAGGGAGCACCACCGGGAACCTGAAACTTTGCTGAGTGTGCTGTCTAGGTGGGGGAGGGGGAGAAGAGGGGTCGCTTTGCTCTGAGGTGCACGGGATGGCCGTGGTGCCCCAAGTTGCCCCAGAAGCTGCATCCCCGAGTCTGAATACCTCCACTCCTAGTCCAAGGAGGAGAAAAAGTGGGTGGTGGGGACGACTTTGATTTCGTACGTGTGGCTCATTGATCTCCAGTCGCCGGAGCCCTGGGAAGGGTATTGTGAGACCCGCGCCCTACCCCAGTCGGGTGTCCTGCCTCTGTCCAGCTCCCTGGAAGGACCTGACTCCTAGTTATTAATAGGCGCCTGTGACAGGAGCCTGGAGGGATTGGGAAAGCGGCTGGGCTGGCTTTGGCGGCGCCTTGAAGCTGACCCTCCTCAGTTCTCACGGATCCCATTCCATCGCCTGCCCAGCCCTGTCCTCTCACTCCGCTCAGGCCTCGGTGAGGTGTCATCTCCCCTCACCTAACTTTTCTCTTCCCAGACAGCCCGATCTGGACTGTTAACCACCTGGGGTCAAGAGCCCAGGCCGATCTCTTGACACCCAAGTACTCTTTCCAAATTCCCCCCAGGTTATGGGTGTGAAGTCCCCAGGGTCACGCTGCCTGGCATGAATGGGGATCACCCTCAACCAGTTTCGAGTCCTTGCGACCCATCACCCACGCGTGACACATTCACCAGCAGCTGCCTAGGGGCTGTGGAGAGCAGACTGGCCTGCGAAGCTCCTGAAAGGGTTTGGGGGAAAGAGAGTATTCTGTTCCCTGTGAGGGGAAGAGCCAGTGTCTTCTTGCCGCACCCCCCCCCCCGCTCCCCCGCTAGTGTCCCCTTCCCACACCCTGAGGTATCAGAAGGATTCTGTGCCCCCTCCCCACCTCACCCAAAATCTCAGGTCAGAACCTGGGTGGGCTCCAGCATTGGGAACAAGGGAGTTGGGCACTTCTTCCTGTCTGGGATGAGAGGTCGCAGAGCCCAGACCCCTAACAGCTGGGGACTCTTTGCCCCAAGGGTGCCGCGGCCCCGCCCCCTTTGGGTTCACGGCTTCCGAGCCCGCTTCAGCAACCTTAGAGCTTGGAGAGCTGAGGTGGCGCATCTTTTCCTCTGCTCTGGGTCTGGGGAGCGGCAGGGGGCGTGGAGTACAGCGATGGGTCCCTGACAGATGTCCTCGCGTGTCGGCGCCGGCGTCTCTGTGATAGAATTAATGGCTTACAAGCAAACGGCCGATCTGTCCGGTCCCGGGGGAGGGGTGGCCCCATGGGACTCCCGGATCTTGGTTACAACCAGCAGCAGAGCAGCTTGGAGATTAGGGGACATAGCCTGGAAGACCTGACCATCTTACTACCCCCCCCCCCCAGCTAGAAGCTCCAATAATGGATGCCTTGGGGGACCCTTCCACGGAAGGACGACTATCAGTGTTCCCTCAAGCTGACCTCCTGGGATTTTCCTCCTCTCCTGCAGACTGTTGACCCTTGTTGAAGCCTGGAGGGTGGGGCTGTACTGGTCAAGGGCGCTCTGGGGACCTGGACCTCAGCTTGCTTGTTCTTTGTTGAAGGGATCAGAGAGACAAAGTTCAGTTGAGTGAACCTGGAGGCACGTAATAACACAGTGCCTGGTACACAAGCCGCACTCACCCTAAATCTCTTGGTTATCACGGTTTCGGCTAGGGCAGGTCAGGGGGAACCCTAGAGATGTGGAGAATCTGCCCCCTCTCTTGGAGTTTGCCTCGGGAAACTGGTGGCAGGCCCCTCCTCTTCCCCTGCACAGAATTGGCCAGCCCCAGAATACCATCCAAGAGTGAGGGGAGGCCCCAGACACAATCTTGTCCTTGGAGATCAGCTGATGGGAACCCCCTTCTAGATACAGCTGTGAGGAGAAGGTGTCCCACACCTCCCATCCCAGGGCCATGCGCCATAGCCTGGAACATCCAGGCTAGCAGCCTTTATCTATTTGATGTGCTTAGCCTGGGACCTGGCCATGACAGGAGGCCAGGCCAGGGAAACTGCGTACATCTCCGATGGCCCAAGGGTCCTGTTGCCCTCTCCATCTAACCTGATCATATTGGTCGCACAGTTCTAAGACACAGTCTTTGCCCACATTGGGTATCCCTTCCTAGGAGCCCTGCCCAGCGAGGACTGAGAGGACTCACAGCCCTCAATTTCCAAGTTCATTCAGTGCTTGAAGGCCTGGCAGGGGGAAGATAGCTAAGAGCCCACCACCCCACTTCCAGCTCCTGTAGGTGCCCAGGCCAGGAGGGAGCCCAGGCCTGTCACCCCCTGAGCAGGGCCAGTCCATACGCACGGCTGGATGGTGCTGTGGGCGTTCATTCACTTTCCTTCTTCGGTCCCCACACACTATAGGATTTATCTTGATTTGCTCAGCCACTGAATTGAGTCAACTCTTTTGTATGCTCGGTGAATTGCCCAGCTGCTGGCGAGGAGCGGAGGAGCGGAGAGAGCGTGCAGGGGGTACTGAGGCCGGGAATCAGGAGCGGGCGGGCGGGGGACAGGAAATGGGGAGGGGGCGCCGCGTGGGGACGAGATGGGCTGTGTGGGGAGAAGGGATCTGCGGGAGGCACCGGTGGGGCTGCGAACGGGACTTATCCAGGACGCTGTCATCAGTGTCCTGGCCAGAGTGAGGAGCAGTCTGTAGGGCTCCGAGCCTAGCTAGGGGTCTTCTTGGGCCTGGTGACCTGGGGCAAGCCTCTCCTGACTCGGTTTCTCTCCTGGGGCTTCCTCACAAGCAGGCGCACGTCGGGAATGGTAGGCTAAGCTGGAGGGGGTGCTGGAGAGCCCTTGAAGTCCTCTCAGAGGTTGGGGTGAGCGAGTGAAGGTTGGGGGTCAGAGCCAGGAGTGTCGTTCTGCGTCCCTAGGTCCCAGCTGTCTGGGATCTGGGCCAGTTCCACCGGAAGACCTGGCTCCTGACAAGGTCTTGGTGTGTTGGTGGTGATGGGGTCGCGCGAGGCCCCTGCTGAGGCAGCAGATGCCCCCTCCTACTTAGACGTGCAGGAGGGACGGTCAGGTGCCCCCCTCCCCCGCAGTTTCCTCCTCGATCCCCAGCTCCCATGAGCCGGATCCTGAGGGCGATACAAGCCGGTAGCGCAGAGGGGACCGGGAGGCGGGGAGGAGGGAGGGCGCGCGGCTCTCGCAGCCGGACTGAGCGCCGGCGGAGCGGGTGGAGGGAGCCGACTGGTGGCGAGGGCGGGCGGGGGAGGGGAAGGAGGGCGGGCGGCGGGAACCAGCGCCCCCCCCTTCGAACCCCCCTCCCAGGCCGCGCGGCGAGGGGCGGGGCACGCGCGCAGATCGATGGGCGAAGCTGGGGAGGAATTTCAATCCGAGAGCCAACTTAGAGCTTGAAGGACGGAGGCGAGGCGGCAGCGGTGGTGGCGGTGGCGGGTGCAGCCCCGGAACGCCGGCCGAGCCGGGCCGGGCAGGTAAGCGTGAAGCTCGGGGATCTTGCGTCGCAGCGTGGCCCGAAGCCGAGCTTGGGCCCGTGGGACCCTGGCCACTCCGCGGGCGACCGGCGGGCGACATTGCGCTTCTCTCACGCCAACGCGCAGAGTGCGCCCCTGACCCTCTGGCTGCGCCCTAGGCCCCGCGCACGAACCCGGAGCGGTGCAGCCGGGTAAAGTTGTAGCAACTTGGCTGTAGAGGAATCTGAGCCGGTTCAGTCCCGCAGAGCCAGAGATTAGGGGTACGGATGTCGCTTTAGAGTCACTGCCGCAGCCTTCAGCCTCCAGATGAACAGCCCCTTCCCCAGCACTATGCTTCGCTGCTTGCACCCAAACCTGCTCCCCAGTGCCAACGACCCCCCACAGCCGCTGCCCTGCCTGGAAACCTCCACACTGTCCACGCACCTCCTCTCCCGAGTCCCTGACCCCCATCCAGCCGGTATCAACATCCCTAGTCTGTCTGCCATCCTTCCCACGGTTGGAGAACCTATTGGCAGGGCACCTGGGGACTGTTCGGCCGCCTATCAGAGAGGCCAGGGTCTACATCGAAGCCAGTGGGTCAAAACCCTGGCGTGGGAGCTGAGGACTTTACTAGAAACTTGGTGAACCCCTCCCCACAAACTTGGAACTGTCATGGCCATCATCTAGGGGTTGGGGTGAGAAGCCTGGGAACCTGATCTCTCACCATTCCTAACCTGCTTGTCCGTTAAACTGGGGCCACAGGGTGTCTCAGGTTGTGTTTACAGCCACGCTCATACCGCCACCACTCCCTCCAGGACCCGACAACATCTGAGATCAAAATTATGCTCTTCCAGGTAGAGGTTGGGCGACCTTGAGTCGGATGACATCGCTGAGCCTCAGTTTTCCTATCCGTAAAATGGGGATAGGATGATACTTTCAGAGAAGTGAAGGGTTAACTGAAGATGGATGTGGGGAGTTGTTTTCTCCAGCCTGGGGCAGAGGGAACCAAGGAGTGCAGAACCCAGATGGAGCTGTTGGGTGTGTACCTACCCCTCACCCCACTGTGCTGGGTTGTGAGGGCTATGAGAGAAGTACTCTCAGGAAAGCCTGGGGTCTTTGGAGATGGGAGTTCTGGAAGGTGTCCGAGCTGGGAGCAG